CCTGCTCTTAGCATCCACACCTGTGCCAGGGGAAAAAGTTATGTGCCCTCTTTTCGAAGTTTTATAGCAGGAGCTTTTGTGATAAACCCCCATAAATAGAGAGGAAACCAGGGAGCAAGCTGGTAACCAGGACGTTTCTAGAAGTGTGTTAACCACCTGGAGAAATATTGACCAGGAAGCAGGCAGGATGCTATTGTGACACTCAGCAGGGTCCCCAGCTGGTGCGCTCCTGCCCACGGTCCCCCAGGTCCCATAGGCCCTGTCCATGGTCCAGCACGCTGTCCGTCACCCACAAGGCGGAACAGAAGGAAGCATTTTATGGGATTGTTCCGGGCCTGGGGTTGCCAGTACGAATCAAGATGGACCCAACAGGAAACAGGAGATGCAGGAATGTTAATTGGAGGAGCAGCTGTCACACGTCAGCCAGCAGCTCGGCAAATTGGCAATTACTTCTGGACGGCCCCGCCCGTGTCTCTGCTGTTCCTCCCCCACCGCGACCCCGGGGACCACGGCTGCATCTGCGGTTCTGGTGCGTGGTTTCTGCTGCGTGTCATTTCTCAGCGAATCATTTGTGAGTTCTGAAAAGAGACCCTGAGCCCTGGTAGGAAAGAATAAAAATACCCCCACAGGTCACCAAAGCCTGCATCCCCTGGGGCACGGTCGTTGCCCAAAATACTTGTCCCGCAGAGCTCTGCCTGACCCAGTTTTCAGCCTGCTCACCGTCAACCCGTGCTTTTGCTCGCGAGCCTGGCCGCGCCACTCCGGCTCTGTGAGTGACACCAGGGTCTGGGAGCCGGAGGACTTAGCAGTGGCTCCTCCTTCACCTCCTCCTCCCCCTCCCTCCTGCATCTCCTTGGCCTTTGCTTAACACCAGCCACGCACATTTGATTCTTACCAGCGCTCTGGGCAAGTCAACCTTTTAAAACCTTTCATTTTTCATTTTTATACCTTCAGCTTTGGCACTCCCAGAAATCCCTGGGCTATTTCAGCTCATCTGAACTCTGCCACCACTGCCGCCCTCCACCCCGGCGCAAGGGGCCCCTCCCACCCAGCCACAGCCGTCGGGTGTCCTCCAGCCCCTGGACAGCTCACCTGGCAGCTGCCAGAGCACAGTTCTGACCTCCGGACACCTCGCACGAGGCCGCTGCCCTCCCCACTGTTTGCTACATCTCCCAATTTAGTATCATCTGCAAACGTAATTAACACGCCATCGCCTGCCTGTTCCGGGCCATTAATGAAGATGTTCCGGCAGCACCCAGCAAACAATATCTTCAAGGTCACGGGGAGAGGAGAGCTAAACCGCTAGCGCCTCGGTCGACGTGGGGGCGGGGCCGGGGGGGGGCGATTGAGCGCCCACGTGTGGTCGGCGCTGACCTGGGTTGGGTGTTTGCACCTCTCACTCTGTGCCTGGTCCACCGCACATCCGCAGCTGCTCCCACTTGAAAGACGTACATTGGAGCGTGCCTCCCTTTTATTTTCGGCTGGTTTCTTACACAAGCAGCGGCAGCTACTAATTGGATGTTTGTCAGGAGAGAGGACGTACATGGTAAAGACACAGTGGTCCTTGTTAGCCTCACTACCGCCCATCTCCACCGGCAAGGCACTGAGATCGTGGAAAACACCCACCGAGGACCCCAGGGCCTGGACAAAGAGGGCAGAAAGGATGCATTCCCAGGGAGACGGTCCCTGGAGAGCCACCCACAAGGTCTCAGCACCCTCCCCAGCAGCAGACCTGGAGCCCGACCACCAGTGGGCCTTTCCCTCCCGCATACAAGGAGGAGTGCCTTGCATTGCAAACCCGGGCCTTGCGTTCCTTCCAGGCAATCTGCAGACAGCGCACTGTAGTACTGCAGATTACTCGGATCAGAAATTCTAAATCACGGGAAAGAGCCACGGTAGCACTATGCATGCCCAGAAAATTGATCCCCAGTTATTTACTGCTTCCAGCACTCCGCCTGCCCCCCGTCCCTCACCGCGGGCCTGTCTCGGCTCTGGAAGCTCCTGGCCATTTCTCAGACACTGTCTTGAAGGTGTCTCTGGACAGGAGCCCACACTGGCCCTGTGGGGGCCGTCCTAGAGTGGGGGGTAGGGTTGGCTCGGGGGGCGGCCTTGACTTTCTCCCTGTGCTCAGTGGGTCCACGTTCTGCTGTCCTCCTCCCGGGGCAGACCTGACGCAGGATGCCATGCCCTTGTCCCAGTCGGTTGGCTCAGGCCACCTCTCAGGAGAGGGGCTCAGGGGGACAGTAGGAGGCTGCAGAATGCGCAGCAGGCCGTCCCAGGCTGCAGACATCCGTGTGCCCACCTGCCAAGCCCCGAGAGGCGGGCAAGCACAGTGGGCGAGAACCGGGCTTCCGAGGCCGGCCTCCGTGAGCACCTGGACTCTGGTTCCCGCTCCGCCACTTTAAGAGCTGCGCCGCTGTCTCAGTGGTTTCCTGCTGCTGTAACAGAATGCCAAAGACGAGGAAAATTACAGACAACACAGGTCTATCTGGCTCCTGGCTCCAGATGCTGAGATGTCCAGTGGCCTGGCGCCAGTGCCTGGCAGGGGCCTCTCTGCTGTGTCACCACCACCAGGCGCAAGGGCAAGGGCGGCCGGAGCCCGCAGGAGGCAGAGAGAACAGGTGGAGCCGACCCCACCCACCCCACCCCCGCTATCAGGACCGGTCAGGGTTCAGGGCCTCTGGGCAATTAAGGCTCCACATGAGCTTTGTAGAGGTCACCAGGGCAGCGACCTTCAGCCGGTGGTTCTGCCTCAGTTTTCCCACATAGAAAATGGGATAATAACCACCCCTGTGGCTTCTGTGTGATTTAAAGTACTGGGGTGTGTGTGTGCAAGTATGGTCTGGCCTCTCCTTACCACAAGTTCCAGGCGCTGTTGAGACCAGGGGTCGGCATTCGTTTCTTTTTCTTTTTCTTTTTTTTTTTTTTTTTAAGATTTATTTATTTATTTGAAAGAGTTACACAGAGAGGAAAGGCACAGAGAAAGAGAGAGAGAGGTCTTCCAGCCACTGGTTGACTCCCCAGATGGCCGCAAGGCCTGGAGCTGCGCCGAACCAAAGCCAGGAGCCAGGAGCTTCTTCCAGGTCTCTCACGTGGGTGCAGGGGCCCAAGGACTTGGGCCATCTTCCACTGCTCTCCCAGGCCATAGCAGAGAGCTGGATCGAAAGTGGAGCAGCTGGGTCTCTAACTGGCACCCATATGGGATGCCGGCGCTGCAGGCCAGGGCGTTAACCCACTGCGCCACAGTGCTGGCCCCGGCATGCATTTCTACAAAGGTCTAAATAACAAGTCAGCTGACTGGTGTGTGCCCCGCGCTCCCGGTCGTGGCTCTGCTCGGCTCTCACGGGCACAAAGCCGCCACAGGCACCAGGAGAACCCGCGAGCTGTTGTGTTCCAGCAAAGCTTTGCTCACGCACCTGGAGATGAAATCCTCATGTCACCACGTCTTATTCTCTCGTTCTTGTAGTTTAAAAATAGAAAAACTATTCTTGGTTCACAGGCTATATATGAGGAGTCTTCAGAAATTCATGGAAAATGCATGGCCTGAAAAAGCTGTGTGTGGATTTCAAAATTTTTGCACCAAAATTAAATTTGTCTTTCCTTTTTTCTTTTCTTTGTTTAGTTTGAGAGGGAGAGAGAGAGACAGAGAGAGAGAGAGAGAGAGAGAGAGAGGAAGATAGAGCAATCTTCCATCAGCTGGTTCACTCCCCAAATGCCTGCAATGGCCGGTACAGGGCTGGGCCGAAGCCAGGAATAGGAACTCAATCCGGGGTCTCCCACGTGGGCAGCAGGGGCCGAGCTCACCTGAGCCATCACCTGCTGCCTTCCAGGGCCCACATTAGGGAAGCTAAAATCAAGAACTGGAGCCGGGACTCAAACCCAAGGCACTCAGATGTGGGACGCAGGCATCCCAACTCAGCTTAGTCCTTGCTCCAAACTCCCACCCCAACTTGCCTTTTAATTCATTTTTCCAGAAACTTTTTTTTAAAAAAAGATTTATTTATTTATTTATTTGAAAGTCAGAGTTACACAGAAAGAGAAGGAGAGGCAGAGAGAGAGGGAAAGGTCTTCCATCCACTGGTTCACTCCCCAATTGGCTGCAATTGCGCCGATCCAAAGCCAGGAGCCAGGAGCTTCTTCTGGGTCTCCCACACGGGTGCAGAGGCCCAAGGACTTGGGCCATCTTCTACTGCTTTCCCAGGCCATAGCAGAGAACTGGATCGGAAGCGGAGCAGCCGGGACCTGAACCAGGGCTAATATGGAATGCCGGCACTGCAGATGGTGGCTTTACCTGCTACGCCATAGTGCCGGCCCTGAATCTTTATGTTTTTAAAAAATTTGTTTATTTATTTGAAAGGCAGAGGGAGACACAAAGAGAGAGAGGTTTTCCATCTGCTGGTTCAGTCCCAAATAGCCAGGAACCTGGAACTCCATTCTGGTCTCCCACATGGGTACAGGGGCCAAGGTTACTGGGCCATCTTGCACTGCTCTCCCAGGCTCATTAGCAGGGAGCTGGATCAGAAGTGGAGCAGCTGGGACTTGAACCGGTGCTGCAGGCAGAAGCTTTGCCCGCTACGCCACAGCACCACCCCAGAAGCAATCGTTCTAATCCAGCGCTCTGACTGCTGCCCGAGAGGCAGATGGCCAGAGAGCAGGCCTGGCGACGCTCATTGACAGCACGCATCGGAGCAACAGAAAAGAAAGGGCTTTCGGGAAATCGGCTCTCTGAGTGGCAGCCGAGTTTTAAGTGGACAGGACGGTGCCATCTGGCGGGGCTGGCTTCTGCCAAACTCTGTCACCTGCACAAGACGCCTTCCCAGAAGGCTCTGGGGGCCCACAGTGTGGCTGGCCCTGCCCGTGGTTTCCACGAGCTTCAAGAATCCGGGCTCCCCCACCCAAAGCCCCCAAAGGTGTGGCCAAAGGTTAATGGGCCCCAACATGAGGACGGGAGGTATATAAGGACCTGTCAGCCCAGCCGGACGCCAGAGGACCAGCAGAGCGAGACTCCTCCAGGCCCACTCGGATCACGCTCACCTCACGCCGTAAGTAGCACGGGAGAAAGTGGGTGGGAGACCCTGTCCTCATGATCCTGAAACCAGACCCATCCTGAGCTCTCTGGGGTGAGCTGCCTAGCTGCTGTGTCTCTCTGCCCAGGTACCCACTGGGCTTCAGACCGAGGGAAGCAGCGGGTGCAGGGCTTGGGCCTGGGGTCACCGCGGGAGGTGGTGGGAGGCGTGGACCTCGACCCCCGGCCCAGGCTTCGAGGAAGGGCATGGCAGCGCCTGCCGTACAGTGAAAAGCTCACCCCCCACCTCCCGCGCCCGAGCGCAAATGAATGTAGTAGGTGACATACCAGCTGCCAGTTGGATCAAGAAAATGAGCAGCAATTGGATTTGGCCCCTTTTTTATTTAAAGTTTTTATTGATTCTTATGGAGTGAATTAAATGCACACACCAGAATGAAAAGGGAGCCGTAGCATCTCGCTGAGGGAAGGGGGGGCCGTAAATGCGACACATCCGTCCCCGCTGGGAGGGAACGCAGACCCCAGAGGCCCAAGGGAAGGGATGGGAAGGGAGCGGGACATGGTGGGGCTCTACTACAGCCCTCCACCTCCCACCCATTCAGCTCGAGCCCCTCAGGGCTCTGCTGGGGCTGCCCAACCTTCTGGGGTTTGCGTGCCCTGGGAGGGGAGGGGTGGCTGCCCGGGTTCTCTTGCTCTCACTCATGGAGTTTGGACAAATGGAGAGAGAAGGGGGGATAGCAGGCGTGGGGAGAAGGAGGAAGGATTGTTCTGCGTGGTGGAGAAGGCGGCTCCAGGTCTCTGCGGAGGGAAGGGTCCCGGACAGACCCGCAGAAAACTTGGGGACAGGTGCAGAGCAGGACCTACTGGCAAACCCAGGCTTCAGGGCCTGGGGGAGCACCATCACCCCCCGCACCCCAGAGGCCACCCTGGTCTCCCCTCCCTGCGCTGGAGGCCTCACCCCTGCACCCAGCACAGGTCTGCTAAGACGCATCCAGCAGGCCTGCCCCCTGCACTGCCTCCTTGCTTCTGGTGGGCAGAGACCACGTGGAGTGGGCACTAGGGGAAGCCCAGGGCTCAGGAGGCCAGGGGTGCCGCCCTCTACCTTTGAATGAGTCAGCCAAGGCTGGCACCAGCCGGGTCTTCTGCCCCTGCCCCAGGCCCATGCAGTCACCATGCCCACCTGCTCCCAGGCAGGAGCTGAGCCCCGAAAGTCTCCCCGCAGCCTGGCTGTCTGTTTCGCAGGATGCGGCCCCTCGCACCGGCACCCCGGCAGCGCTCGGTGTTGGGACGTCGGTGGCAGCTTGCTGGGAGGAGTCCCCTCCTGCTGTTCCTGGGTGGTGTGGTACAGCGGCTGGGAGTGGCGCAGGAGCTGGGGGGGGGGCTTGTTACAGAGCCCTTGCTGGCCCCCAGGGGTGGGATCCCCACTCTCAGCATTGGGGGCAGCTCCATGCTGATGCTTCCCACAGGAAACATCTTCCTCTACTGGGGCCGGGGGTCCTGACCTGGTGCCCCAGCTCACCCGATGCAGCCCTGATCCTAGGCCCACATCCAGAGAGGCTAAGCACTGGCTCCAAGCCACACAGCCACAGGCAGGGCGCAGACCCGAGCTCAGGGCTCCTGCCCCTAATGCAGCGGGCCTTCCCTGCGCCCTGGACAGGCAGACGGGAGCTGCTGGCCGTTGCCTAGCTCCACGATGGTGTCCCGCAAGGCTGTGGCTGCCCTGCTGCTGGTGCACGCGACCGCCATGCTGGCCTCCCAGACGGAAGCCTTCGTCCCCATCTTCACCTACAGCGAACTCCAGAGGATGCAGGTAAGGAAGGAATCCCGCTGCCCACGCTCTGCTTGGCCCCAGAGGGATCAGTCTCTCCAGGCCCAAGGGTCCTGGGCAAACCTGTGGTCAGTGCTGTGCCAATGAAGCCCAGAGCCCATGAGCACCTGCGCTCCAGCCACGCGCACACCTTCGCTGGCGGCCCACATGGGCATCCATGGCTCACAGGAGCCACGTCTTTTCCCACCCTGCCTGAGCCTTGAAGGAAGCCAGCAATGAGCAAATCCTTCTCCACGGTGCCAGGGCCACCCTGAAACCCCAGCCCCTCACCTCCAGCCAAGACGGGAACATCAGAGACACAAGAGCCAGGACTGGCGGGAGCGCAGCTCGCGGTGCCCTAAGTGACGCCGCGGCTCAGTGCATGGTCAGAGGAGGGAGAGGTGAGGGAACCCGCACCCAGAGGCTGGCAGGAGGCAGCGTTGTGTGTGTCGGCCGCGAGCCCAGAAGAAAACACGGAAGGTTGAGTGGGACTCCGGAAAACCGGGCTGCGGCTCTGCCTGCCTCCTGCCTTTCACTGGTTCTGTGCAGACATCTGGTTCACTTTAACCCAAGGAGATACAGAAATGGGGCTTTCATGCCCCTCCCTCCCCCCTCCCAACCCCACTGCCACCTGAGCCCTCTGGGAGGTCTCGTGGCTCTGAGGCTGTCTGTGGCAGGGTCGGAGGAGCGGCAGCAGCCCCCACATGGGCTCGCTCTGCCAAGGACACCATCACTGCACCTCGGAGCAGGCCCATAGCAGGATCCCAGAGGACCGGGTGTACCTGATGCTGGCCAGCAGCCTCCCAGGCCAGACTCGGGCCGCTAGAAACGTGGAACACCGCAACACCCACGCGAGCGAAGCGGCCACAGAAGAGCGCATTGCACTGAGTCGCTCCGCGGTTTTTCTCCTCACAATTACCAGGCACTGGGGTTTCATGGAGAAGCTGCAGACTTGCACCTCCATCATTCATCTCCCTGTCTTGCCTCTTATAAATCACCTCCCAGGGACTCTGAGTTCCCGGGCCACCCCACGGCGCCCTCACAGCCCACGCTGTCTTGCTACCTTTTTTATTGGCTCTCTGCTAAGAAAGACGCATTTGCACACTGAATATGCGTGAAGGGCAGCCATTATTTTCAACTTCTTAGCTTAATTAACAGTACCAGTCTGGGTGCAAATGTTTTAACTACCAAGGAATGACTTCTTCTTCCCGCGGTCCCTGTGCGGGGTGGGGTGGAAGCGTCCTGGGGAGGAGGCCGGGGGGCCATGTGGGCAGACAGTGGGAGGGCGGCTTGGGGCACCCCTGTACTCTGCCCCCAGGAAAGGGAGCGGAACAGAGGGCACAAGAAGTCCCTGAGCGTGCAGCAGAGGTCTGAGCCAGCGGCCGCTCCAAGGCCTGCGGAGCCCACCCTGGAAGAGGAAAACGGGAGGACGCAGGTGAGAGCCTGGCGGGCAGGCGGGCCCTCCACCCACAGCCAGTCACGGAAAGTTCTAGATTCAGCTGTGAACAGCCAGCCAGGGAACCAGCTCCACGCTGGCAGGGAGAGACGGACGCCAACAAGAGACACGTCAATTGTTGGAGACGCCAAAGGAGGAAGTAGGGGCGAGGGATGCTGGGACACGGCTTTATCCAGGGGAGGTCGGGGAAGGCCTCTTGGAGGAGGTGACATTTTGATTTGCAACCTCAGTGACGAGGATGCGCTGGGGCAGGGGTCTCCCAGAAAGAGCAGTAGTAGGTGCAGAGGCCCACTCAGGAGTACCCAGTGGGTGCTGGGAGGCTGAGGGTCAGGCAGGGCCTGGTGCACTGGACTGGGCAAGGCTCTAAGGAGCCATGGGGGTCGCCAGATCCCACACACTTGGGGGCAGGAGAGCAGTCAGGGCAACTGCAGTCCTCGCAGAGGGTCAAGGAGGGCTCCTGTCCCCCCTCCTGGATGGCTTCTTCCAGGCCCCGTCCTGCAGCACACTGGGGGCTCTTGAACCCCAGTTGTCGAATAAATGACCCCCGCTGGGTGCTGAGGACAGAGGAGTGACAGACGCTCCCCTGGGGAGGCAGGCCAGAATTCTGTAGAATGGCAGGAAGGGACGGGGGCTCTGGAGCGACAGGCGGGGTGAGGAGATGAGCTGGGTTGCAGTTCTCAGTGGGGGGAGTGCAGCCAGCTTTGTGAGTTGATGCAGTGCAGAGCGAGGGAGTGAACCCTAGGGGACCTGAGGGAGCAGCCAGTGCAAAGCAGAGGGCCTGGGGCCTGCAGCACTACCTAGCAGGCCTGAGAGGCCGCAGCAGAAGCAGCTGGGGGTGGGGGTGGGGCCTGGGGGGAGGCCAGACTGTGGACCTCACAGGCTGCCATTTGGACTTTTGAGTTTGTTCTGCTGAGGCTCTGGCTTTTTTTTTTTTTTTTTTTTTTTTTTTTTGAAAGACAGAGAGACAGAGACAGACACAGAGAGATCTATCCACTGGTTCACCCCCTAAATGCTTGGAATAGCTGAGGCTGGGCCAGGCTGAAGCGAGAAGCTTGGAACTCCATCCAGATCTCCTCTGCGGGTGGCAGGGACCCAAGTCCTTGAGCCATCACTGCTGCCTCCCAGGGTGCACGTTAGCAAGGTGCTGGACTCAGAAACGAAGCCAGTACTGGACCCCAGGTGCTCCCATGTGGGCCGCAGGTGCGCCAAGTGCGTGTTAACCAGCGCGCTGGACACCCACCCTGAGTTATATTTGCAAGGGGATTTCCCCAGCTGCCATGTTGCACAGACAGGGACGAAGGCAGAACCCGGGAGGGACCACCAGGAGGCTGCTGCAGGGAGAGGCGGTGGCCACAGCGTGGGCGGAGCACAGCGGCTGGATTTGGGAAATATTTTGGAGGGGGAAGCCCTTGCACTTACTGAAAGGTCAGCAGGAAGCCTGACCAGGGTTTGAGGATGGAGTTGCCACTGACCGAGAGAGCGGAGGCTGCGGTTGGCCACGGTTTGGTGAGAGGCTGATCAGGAGGTCCGGCTGGGCCCGCGACCCGTGCGGTGCTGCTGTGCGTACAGAGGGAGACGGGGCGCAGACAGGGGGATATCCAAGGCTGAAGTTCAGGAGCAAGGCTGGGCCCGGAGTCATAAATCAGGAATAATTGGGTGGAATTTCCAGCCAGCTCTGCGCAAGCGAACTCCCTGCGGGGCAGACAGAAGAGAACAGGACAGGGCTTCGGGAGTGAGGAGACCGACATCCAGGGAGGGCAGGGCCTTGCCAAGGTCACCCGGGCGCTGCAGCCACGTGCCCGCGGCCTCGCACCCTCCCCAGCCTCAGCTGCTGCAAGGGCGCAAGTGCATCCAGCACAGCTTCCCTCTAGCGGGGCTGGGCGGGGCTGAGCGGGGCTAGGCGGGGCTGGGCGGGGCTGGGCGGGGCTCCCCCCCCCCCCCCCCCCCGCCCCAGAAGCTTCAAACACAGGATTTGCCAGTCAGAAAGCCGAGGCCTCAAGCCGAGGCCTATGTCTAGAGAGGCCTCATAGGGACAGCAAGGGGACGGATAGGCAGGACTCGGGCTGAGCCCACAGCGATGCCTGCAGGTGTCCCCTCCCCCCGGGGGCCTGCAGGGCAGACCCGAACCTATTTCCCACACCCAGGGGGCCAGGCAGGGGTAGGGGGAGCAGGCGCTGGAGCCCCTCCGAGGCAGCTCTGCTGGCAGGTGCACCAGGAGGTGCTGAGGGGCCAGTGGTGGTGGTGGATATCAACCAGTACAATACAATACAATGGGTTCCGCCTGAGGCCGCAGCCAGAGGTCCATGGGTCCCACTGGGTCCCCACAGCGGGAGAGAGGAGCGAGCCAGGAGAAGAGCGAGCTGGGCGGTGGAGGAAGAACACAGCCCCTGGCGCCAGTTCCCCCTTCCAATGTTTTCTTCCTGTGCTGCCTGGCACCCCTGTGCTCTTGAGCTCCTCCTCGGTCTCCCCCCTCAAGATAGGAAGGCTGACGTTTCCCGCCTCACGGGGGCCTCAGGGGCTTAATCCACAGCCAGTGCTCCAGGTCCACAGCCTCCGCAGCCCCAGGCGCACTGGCCACGGAGCAGAGGCGGCGTCTACACGGCGTCCTTCTCTCATCACCATTCCCTAAGCGTGCAGTGTGTAACTGTTTCTTAGCATTTGTATTGGATGAGGTCTTAGAAGTAATGTGGAGATGATTTCAAGGAGACGGGACTGTGTGGGTGACAAGCAAATACTACACGCTTCCAGACAGGGGACTGGGGCCCCTCGGACTTCAGTGTCGGGTGGGGGTGGGGGTGGGGGGAAGTCCTGGAGCCATTGCCCCGTGGATACCCAGGGACCACACTAGGCTCTGAGAATGGCATCTAGCCTGTGGTCAGGCTCTGCTGAGGTTGGCTACCGCGCTCCCCTCCCTCTGAAAGCCGGACAGGCCTCCTGCGGCCCCCACCCCTCCTGTCCCAGCCTCCCAGGCAGGGAAGGGGTGGGATTCTCCCTGCAAGGCTCGTGGACTTCCATTACCCAGCCCCCTGCTTAGAGTCCCCAGCTGACCCAGGAAGCCCAGAGCTTGGGAAGAGCAGGGCCCGCAGAGGGGGAGGGGCTCCCAGGGGTCCCTCCTGCCACCTGTAGGACACCCAAGGGTTAATGGCCCTCTCCACACCTCTCCCTTGTTGTTAACTCTGCCTTATTTCACAGCTGACTGCTCCTGTGGAAATTGGAATGAGGATGAACTCCAGGCAGCTGGAAAAGTACCGGGCCGCCCTGGAAGGGCTGCAGAGCGGGCTGTCCACCCAGACGGTAGGGAGGGCGGGCTGGCCCTGCCACTGCTGGGTTCCAGGGGCCTGGCTGAGCAGGCCTGCAGGACAGTCGTTTGTTTTCCTACTTTGCACTTGACCCCATGCACGGAGCTGGCTCCTCGCACTCCCGTCACCAGAGGAGCCTAATCACAGAGTGGGCAGGTGCCAGGGGGCCCCAGGTCCCAGACAACCGGCAACGCCTCCCAACAGCCCTCCCTTGCTCCAAATATTTTCATTTCCTCCCCAAACCCAGCGGAAGCTGGGAGCTTTGGTGCTGTTCTTGTTTGTGTTTCACCTGCAAAGGGCTCCCCTTGCAGAATGTTCATGAAAACCTAGAAAACAAACGTAGGCCTGTGTTGGTGCAAGTGTTTTTTTTTTAATCCTTCCACAACTTTCCATCGGTCGCATTTCCATAAAGTTTTTAGGGACCCTCTGTATTCTGCACTGAGCCCCAGTTGGCCTTGCCCAGGTCACCGTCTGCCCAAGTTACTTGTGCAAGGCTAGATCTGTGTCACCAACAGCCACTGATCACTTCTGGTCCCCAGGAGGGGAAGAGAGAGACTCAGAGGGTGTGGTGTTACAGATGGGGCAGGGGGAGTTAAATGCTTGCCCCTCGAAGAGACAGTTCCCAGGCCCCAGCAACCAGTTCCCACCTCCAGCGCCCAGCCCACCCCCATGCCCCTCCAGCCCCAGGGCAGATGCGTGGACCTGCCCACTCCACTGAGCCACAGCCTCTACCTCTCCCCAGCAGCTCCGAGTCGGCCCTGCTGGCCCTGCCGGGGGAGAAAGTGGATGGAGCGGGGAGCCCTCTCCCACCTGAGCGAGGCCCCAGAAGTCCGCCGGCCCACCCACCAGCTGGGCTGGGAAAGAAAACCCCTTCTCCTCAGCTACCCCGTCCAGCAAATAAAGCATGAACTTTAACGGAAGTTATCCACCTGATTAATATTCTGATTTCCAAAAGGCGCGGTGTGGGGGCTGGAGGTGGGGTGGAGAAGGGGGGAGGGCTCAGAGGAGGTCACAGTGGAGCGTGCACACAGACAGTGTACACCCCGGGCAAGTGCAAGGTTCAGATATTAACCCGACCTGCAGACTGGGGAGACTCGCACAGCTCCCTCCCTTCAGGTGAGGGCACAGACGCCAGACGGCTGGGTCCACGCGCCCAGCCTCCGCTTTCTGCTCACTGCCAAGCTCTGGGTCTAATGGAGCAGAGATTTTCAGACCTCTGCGCTCAACCCCTTGCTGAGTGACTTCCAACCAGCCCTTTAGCCTCAATGAGCCTCTGCAAAAGCAAGGTGGTAATATCTGCTTTGAGATTTGGGGACGGAGGCGCCAGCAAAGAACAAATCACTATGATTATTGTCACCTTGTAACTCCCCGCTCCCGCGTCCGCAGCAGAATTACACAGTCAACCCACTTATTTCTGCCTTCCAAACAAAACTGGAGGGAGGTTTCATTCTAATTTAATTTTACATTAATGAATGTTCATTTATTTATAAACTGGGGCTATATAGGATCAGGAGCCCCCTCTCTCCACGGTCACCGCTGGGGGGACACTGTGTCCATTCTGTGTGTCCACCTGCCCCAAGCCTTGTCTGCGCTTACCCACGGAAAGTGGCTACCGGGCCAAGGAGACCCCAACCTTAAAAAGGAGCCTCATGTGGGGTGCTCTGAATTCTCCCGGAGAACACCCAGACCTTGCCTGGGACCCGGCCCAGCCCGTCACGACAGTCGTTCCCACGTGTGCCCAGTGCTCATACGGATTCAGCCTGGAGCAGCTGCAAGGTCCCGGCAGTGCAGCTGGGACGCACAGGGCTGCAGCCACAGCGCTCGCTCGCAGGAGAGAAAGGAGGAGAAGTCCCAGGCAGGGATCTGTGCAGCTGCTGCCCTGGGACTCCCGCTGCCAGCCACCCCATTGTCTGCACCACACTCCAAGACGCAGAACAAGGTGCTCCTGGTGTCCTTCCCTCGCGCTCTGCTCCAATCTTCCCCATAGAGAGGCTTCTCCTGCCCCTGGGTGGGGGCTTCCTCTAGGGAATTTGCCCTAAGATCCTGGGGTTGCAGAGCAGCATTGAAATAGGCAGTACAGGGGCCGGTGCTGTGGCATAGCGGGTAAAGCTGCTGGCATCCCATATGGGCATCGGTTCAAGTCCCAGCTGCTCCACTTCTGATCCAGCTCTCTGCTATGGCCTGGGAAAGCAGTAGAAGATGACCCAAGTCCTTGGGCCCCTGCACCTGCGTTGGAGACCCGGAAGAAGCTCCTGGCTCCTGGCTTTGGATCAGCGCAGCTCCGGCCATTGTGGCCATCTGGGGAGTGAACCAGCAAATGGAAGACCTCTTTCTCGCTCTCTCTCTCTCTCTCAGCCTCTCCTTCTCTCTGTAATTCTGACTTTCAAATAAATAACAAAGAAAGAAAGAGAGAAAGAGAGAGAGAAAGAAGGAGAGAGAGAGAAAGAGGCAGTGCAGAGGGAACTGGAACCCTGGGAGATTTCCCCTCCAGCTATTTGCATTGTTTTGTTTTATTTTGTTTTTTAAATTCAAGAGGCAGAGACAGGACGCCCTTACACCCTTCCGCCCTTCCGCCGGTTCACTCCTCAAATGCCTGCAATGGCTAAGGCTGGACAGACAGGGACTAAGAAGGTGACCCATCACCCGCTGCCTCCCAGGGTCCGCACAGGCAGGAAGCTGGAATCAAACCCCGGGCACTCCAATATGGGACATCTTAACCATGAGGCTAAACAGCCTCCCTGGTGTGTGTATTTTTAAAATGGGAGTTGGCCCGGGAACCACGGTGCCTGGGAAGGGTGCAGCGCGGTCTGACGTGAGGCAGGCTCTGCTTGAAGCTTGGCACTGCGGGGGCCCCAGCGTCCCCGACCCTCCCGGGGCCTCCTGGTAATGGGACACAGCAGGGACCCAGCCGCCACCGCATCTGTATGCACAGGGCTCCACGCCTGTTTAGATGTCTCCTTTCTTCTCTCGTTCTCCTCCTCCTGCCGCTGCGCAATTTCTCACAATCGCCTCAGATAATACCTTTTTGCCAATGAGTTCCTATAGTTTCCAGGACAGTGGACTCGATTGCTTACGGGACATGCACAGCCCCAGAAGAAATTAAAAGTGGAGGGCGGGGTGTGTGCGTTGGGGTGGGGGGGAACTGGGGGAGGATTCTGTGAGCTGAACCAAGAGAAAATGACCATGTTCTCACAAAACAGAAGAAAAGAGAAACACGTCCCTGGTTAAAGCTGTAGAGGAGTGAACCGGAAACCAGGCAGGATCAGAGGGGGGGTGGGGGTGAAGCCGGCAGGAGCAGGGAGCGGGCGAGCCTTGCCGAGCTTCGAGCTTCGAGCTTCGTCCTGCGAAATCGGCGGGGATCTCTGTGGTCTGTGGCGGGTTTTGCACTTGAACAGGACCACGGGTAATTACAGGGCAGCCCGCGCCCAGCCTCACAAGATGGAGATGATGAGGTATTTTCTCCATAGCCACATCAGTGTGATTTTACAATTACTGAGCCACGTGAATCTGCTATGAAATTGAATAGTTAAAAGCAAAGAGTAACTGCCTGATAGCTGCACTCTGTAATTTAGCATAATCTAATCATGGACAAAGCCTAAAAGAAACCCTTTGAAAGCATCGCACTTTCCTTCATACACAACGCGTCGTTGACATCGGACAATGTGTTCCACGCCTCTGAAGGGCTCTCACCGCAGATAGGAAACCGTGAGAGATGCCAGAAGCCTGCGCATTGCATTTCATTTTCAACAGGTAGGGGATAGCGGGTGGCGCACCTGGCCGTTAAACCCATCCCGTCACCTCCCTGGCACTCTGGTTGCCCCCTCTGCTGACCCCCACCCGCCAGACCTAGCGAGAGCTCGAGGATGAACTCCTGGTCCACAGGCTGTGAGATGAGGCAGCAAGAAGTCGGGTGCTCCCGAGGTCATGGACCCAAAGGGCACCCACTTTAAAAAAAAAAAAAGATTTTATTTATTTGAAAGATAGAATTACATGGAGAGGTAGAGACAGAGAGAGGTCTTCCATCCGCTGGTTCACTTCCCAGATGGCCACAATGGCTGGAGCTGTGCCGATCCGAAGCCAGGAGCCAGGAGCTTCTTCCAGGTCTCCCATGTGAGTGCAGGGGCCCAAGGACTGGGCCATCTTCTACTGCTTTCCCAGGCCATAGCAGAGAGCTGGACTAGAAGAGGAGCAGCCGGGTCTCAAACCGAAGGGCACCCACTTTTCAACAGCACCCTCCCAGCGCCCTCTGGGTGCCAGGAAGCCTAGAAGCGCCAAGAAGGCCACACCAGGCCCTCGACGGGGCGGCTCAAGGGGCAGGTGCGTGGTCCTGACAATGTGTGCAGAGCTGTCTACAGGAACAGAGGGGGGCAATGAAACCCACTAACAGATTTACAACCATTATGAACATAAGGCTGTGCAGGAAGGCAGGCAGCGGGGCAGCCCCCCGGGAATCCAGGGGTGCTCTGAGCAGCCCCTTGCCTGTGCTAAACGTGTGGCTGTGGTTACTAAGGAGACGCACGCGCTGGAGCTGGTTTTTCCTCTTTTGCCTTTAATAAATCAGGAAGAACCTGAGCTGCTCACCTTAAAAAAAAAAAAAAAAGCTGCAACAAAGTGATGAGAAAGGAGGCAGGCAGGACAATGACCGTTCCTCTGGAATAGCACCCCCCACCACCACCGCCCGGGCGCGGCAGGAGAGTCACAGAAGATTCTGGAAGGCAGACCCCCAGAAGCCCTCAGGGCCGGGAGGGCAGCCCCTACAAGGAGGAGAGGGCAAACCACCTTGTCCATGGGGCACTGGGGAGGGCAGCTGGGAGCCAGGCCAGGGCCCCTGACCGACTGGGGAGGGGTGGGGAGGGAGCACTGCTGGGTGCCCCAGCACCTGCCGCCTCCCAGACACCACCGCAGAGGCAGAAGCATAGACCAGGATGGAAAGGCCACAGCTGCCGACACGCCGGGTTCTAGGCTGTGGGAGGCGGGGAGGGGGAAGGGCAATGGGTTCTTTCGCTGCCCGGACCCCACTGCCTACCTCTGCGGGGTCCGTATTTTTAAGTCGCCTGAGAGCTATTGTGATGAAACGGGCTGTAACTCCCTGAAAAGGCTGCTACACTAACTTTGTTTAAGCATCAGTTTCAAGCCCTCTTGGAATCCACAGGGCCAGTATTGACGCCGAAAGGCTCATTCTTTATATATTGAACTGCACAGCTGCGAGGAGTTGCACAAATGTTACCAACTCATTTGTCATGCAAACAGTGCTTCAGAAAGAAATAAAATACTATTATGTGGTGTATGTGCTAGGCAATCACTATATCAAATTCATGGCATTCCGTGCAAACACAGGCAGAGAAAAGGAAAACAACACTTGGTGAGAGAAACCGCACCACATGGGAGCAGCTAAGTCGGGGAAGACGGGGAGCATGACCAAGCCCAGGCTGTAATTTTCCCAGCGATTGGGGCCAGTGTTGAATACCCCTGGGGTAGAGCAAGTGGCAGGAATGCACAACTCTCCTGGGGCGCCTTGCTCGGTCCCGGGAGAGGAGGGACAGGTTGAGGGAAGGGGGGGTGGGCCTCGGGACTGCTGGGTGAAGCTACTGGGGAGGAGGGAGTGTGGGAGCGGGAAACACGCGTGGACCTACTAGGCAGGCAGGGAGCAGTGGGGAGGGGGAGGAGAAGGAAAGCGGTGACGTAGAGTTCCCTTGCTTCCCTTAGCGGGTGCTAGGAGCCCCCGTGTAAGCAAGTCGCCTGCCCCGCGAGGGGCTCTGCGCGGTGCTGGCCACAGAGGCGTGGGCGAAGCAGGCACCCTGTCCTAAGCACCTTGCACACAGCACCTCTCCTAAGCCTCACAGCCACCTCTGGAGGTTCACTGGCTGCCGGGACAGAGACGCTCGTGGTACAGGACCACACATCCGACAGCTGTGCAG